CGGCTTTTTTTTTTTTTTTTTTTTTAGGAGAAAAGAGCTCTTTGTGAATGTCTGACCCAGATAAAAGCAGCTGTGGACGTAAATAAAACGGGCGGTGTAGCTACACTAATCAGTTTTTGGCAGACGGGCACTTTTTGGCCGGTGTGACACCGGCTGTGGAGCTAACTCAGTAGCTTCGGCCTTCTTCTGTACATGTGGTCCACCGGCTGAGGCTCCGGCTTGTACACATGAAGCCGTAACACAACGTCAACCTCGCCGCCCGTGAAGCTTAACGTCACCGTGACACAGCACCTGTCGGCCGGTTTGACAGGTGTAACGTAGCAGGCGGGAACCAAGCCGGTTAGCTGCTATTAGCCGCTATTAGCCCGGCCTTATCAGAGCGCTCACATCACGCGGCTAACTAGCATGCTAGCAAAGCAAATGGCAACAACAACAACACGTCGTGTGGCGTGAACCCGAGTTCCCGAAGCGTGAATCTCACCTTGGTTTTAATTTCATTGTCCACCTTGAGGAGTGAAGACATCTTATGTGATCAAATATGCGAAGAACGATTGTCCCAACAGCATTAAATTCTCTGGTGAACGTGTGGCTTATTGCTGTCAGCCACACTTTGTGAGCTTAAAGATGACGAAGGCAAAACGCGACGGACGCGCTGCTTTCACTGCGCCTGCGCGAAACGTCAGCACGCTGTGAAGGATCCAGGAACATTAAAAACGATTAACAGGCAACTCTGCGATTATTGATGATTAGGGATCGATATGGCGCGAAGTGCAGAGAAATATGATAATATAGGTTTCTATTATTTTTTTAATATGGTAGGGCCTTAACCTTAATATTTTAATTCGTTGGGTAGTTTGTTACAGGTCATATTGTTGTAGGTTCTTAATTTCAATATTCAAGTTAGTCAGGTTAATAAAAAAATTAATTACCTGACAAATTTAAACATAACATTTAAGACCCTGCTGTTTAAATTTGTCAGGTAAATTAGTATTTTCTAAAATTTTGGGGGGTCTTAAATTAATATTTTATATAATTTTCTAGGTGACTAACCTTAATTTTTAAGTTACTGATTTAAAATTGAATTTTGCATACTTTTGTATGGTCTAAAATCTAATATTCAAATTGCTCTTTCAAATCTGTATTTTATATACATTTATAGGGACTTAACCTTAATATTCATATAAGGCCAGATACAATTGCATTGTATATAATTGTATAGGATCTTAATTGTAATATTTAAATGATTTAGTTAATTTATTATTATTATTATTATTATTATTATTATTATTATTATTATATTCGGGCCTAAACTCTAAATTTAAATTAGTCAGGGTATTTTGTATATATATCATTTTGTGGGGTCTTAACCTTAATATTTCAATTTCTCAGGTAAATTTTAATTTTATACAGTTTAGTAGTGTCTTAAATGTAATATTTAGAAATATATAGAACGTTTTCATTTTGTTCATCTGCTTAACCTTAATACTTAAATATCTGAGATAAATTTGTATTTTATATAATGTTGTTGCAGCTGTTGAAGAAATTTACTAAAAATCCTCATGCGAAGTTTGCTCTAGTGGGGTGTTTATTAGTATTTGGGTATGCAGTGGGTTTGCCAACACAGAGCTGTGAAGGTACGCCGACCAAGAACATTTGCAGAGTTACACATTTGATAGGGCATGTCAGACTGAAGGGAGAGGCTGCATGTCAATACCAAAGTGAACTGTGGTTAGTTAGTGTATAGTTGCTAATCAATGACAGGAGGTAAGAGAACAGAAGGTGATTGAATCAAGCGATCTAATCGACAACAAATGGCAAGAGAATGAGGGGTCTGGTGGACAGTTACAGACGGTGAGGGAATTATCAATGATAATGGAATAATGAGTGACTGGGGTTAGGGGGGTGTCTGTAGCAAAAGATTTGCTGTTTTCTTCATCACAGCTTAGCCGACTCAGGGTGAAGGCAGGTTCACCTGGACAGGTCACCAGTTTTAGAATCACCAATTAACCTCAGCGTGTTTCTGGACTGTGGGAGGAAGTTGGAGAACCCGGAGAGAGGATCTTAACATAATATTGAATTAAACAGGTAAAGTTGCATTTTTTTTCAGAACTTTGTAGGGTTTTAAACTTAACAATATAGATCATGCAGGTACATTAGGATTTTCCATGTTTTTGTAGGGTCTTAGACCTAACATTTAAATTACTCAGGTAAATAATTATATCGTATAATTTTGTGGGGCCTTCAGAATCAACTTTATGTGCCAAGTTTGTACACACAAACAAGGAATCTTTGTTCTCTGTGTAGAGTAATCTAATTTGAATAAACTTAAAATAAAAGCACTACAAAAGGAATACAAAAATAACGTCAAAGTTGAGGAGTAAAGAAATAAACTAGCTTATTCTGGTAGGTTTGAATTTTACATAATATTGAGTGGTCTGAAGTGTAATATTAAATTAATCAACTTTGTTTGCCAAGTTTGTACACGCAAACAAAGAATTTGACTCTGGTCAGGTACGAAAACAAGAATATAAAAATAAGGTGAGCGTTGAGGAGTAAAGAAATAAACTGGAACAAGAAAAATAAGAGCAATAAGATATAAGAGAGAGATGTGCCTTTATTCATCTCACAGTGGAGAAATTCACAGTGTTGTCAGCAGCAGTACACATTAGGATACACGCATAGGAGAAAGAAAAATGTACATATAAGAAACAGTGCAAACATATATATAAATTAGGGTACAAAAGATATAATAATAAGAAACAGTGCAAATGCAAATACATACATACATGTCGTGGTATAGTGCAACTACAAGTGCAATATCAACAACCATAACCTTCCTTAACCTTAATATTTGGTTTACTATGGTAAATTTGAACTTGCGTAATTTTGTATAAAATCCGATGTATTTTAAATTATGATTTGATTTTAATATTTAAATTAATCACGTAATATATAATAACGTGTCATTGTGAACAGTGTATTACTGTAGTTCATACTTCTGACCACTGGGTGGCGATGACGCGTCAGTGTTACGTTCTCCAGCCGCTGTTAAAGGTGGCCGAAGAAGCCGCGGGAACGTCACCGTATTTTTCTCGACGCAGCTGACGATGTAAACAAGAGAAGACAGTCGAGGGCAGCAGGGATCAAACAGGCCGCTGTCACCGCGAATGGTCGCCGTTGGACGGTCGTAGACGGCCGACATGGGGCTCCCCGTTACGATTAAAGTGAATTTCCGGGGCAACGTCAAGAGGTTTCTGGCTCAGGATCTGGACAAGCTGGAGTGGGAGTCCGTTGAAGCCTGGGTGAGCGGCTGCTAGCCGAGCATGTTGGCTAAACGCTGGCGCAGTTTGGCGAGAAGCAGGCCCAGACGTGGCCCGAACAATGGAGCACCTGAAGGACAGCCGATACCGCCGCCGAAACTCAATATTTACACGCCGGGCGGGTTATAATCGAGCTCACGGGGCCGCTAAATGGCACGGGAGATTAGCTAAGTTAGCTTCGGTGCTATTGTACAAACAGTATCCGGCTGTCGAGCTGTTTCTGAGGCTGAAGCAGCGGCGGAGTCGCACTGTTTTTACAGCCTGGAAGCATTACTCACTCTGAGGTGGCACCGTGTTGACTTCAGCTGATGTTTAGGCGAATCTCTGTAGGCCAGATCCTCAAAGTGTTGGGTATTATTCGCTTATACAGGCCAGTCCGACACGTAGAACTACAGAATAAGTCAAGCTTTTCTTATGTAATCTGGAACTAAAGTCATGATTAATTTAAATTCCTGCTAACTCATTTAAATGACGTTGAAGTGTCCTTGTTGCCACCGAGTTGAGTCATCTCACTGTTTGTTTAGACTTCAGGTTCTGTTTAGCAGTTTGTAATACCAGTTTGTTAAAAGTAGGATTCATCCCCATATACTGTAAAGAGTCCAGACAAGAGATTTAACCAAATTCACAGCTAAACCTAAACCATACACAACTTAATTAACCACAGCAGATTCTTTATTTACGAGAGCTTGACTCATTTTGGGTTTTAAAGGTTGATGCCAGTACAAAAAAACTCTGATATTCTGTGTATATATGTATTTGATTGAGTAATGTTGGGAAGATAACACGATGGGGTCCCTGTTTATTAACTTTGTGGTCATTTATATCACAAACCAGGTGACTCAGCACCACCAGCTGTGATTCATACTGTGCTACATGTGCTGCTAAAAGTAAAATAGTGCAGTTGGCACCCTCTGCTGGACAAACTGTGTGATGACACCTTCCTGAATTCCTTAAACCACATTTCTTTGTGTCATGTTCTGTAGAGAAAGTTTCCATATTGGACCATATTTGGCTTGTTTACATGTTATGCATTAAAAAAAAACACACATTTTTATCCCGTATGCACGTGTCAGTGACAATAATAGGAAATCTTTTGAGTTGCTGCTAAATCAGAGTAAACATTTCCTGGTTTTTCGGACCTGCTAATTGAATGGAGGTTGGTTGTGTTGCTAACAATTCATCCGTATGAGAACAAACAAGATAATAAACAGTTGCACCAGGAAGTGCAAAAGTCTTGGCTGCTGGCTGCGTGGGACGGCCAGACTTTGGTCTGTGGTCATCGTGGCACCACTTGGCTCGGCTCCTGCTGCTGTTATTGATGCTTTCGTAACGCGAGGAGCTGATTTAATTTGGGAGTGTTTGCTGTAAATCTAATCTGGAGTCTTGTGCGTTGTATTTCAGATCAAAGCCTCATTTGGGATCAACCACTTTCAAGTGAAATACTTTGACGAGGACAATGAAGAGGTACGAAGCTGAGAAAGAAATATGTCATGATTTAAATTCTTGTAAATGTGTTCTATATGCTCATTTAATTATTGTCTTCTCTTTTACTTTTTATGTCAGATTTGCATAAACAGTCAAGGTGAGAAAAACATTGCTTGCTTGTTTTTCTGTATTTCATGTTAAGTTTAAGTTAATAATACATGTACATGCAGCATAAAAAATACAAGATTACAGCTGTAATCTCAGAATATGTTGCAGAAATGTTAATGTTTTTGTTTGTTTGTGTTTCAGACGAATATGAAGAAGCCATCAAGGTACCGTCACACAGCTGGATTTCTTCTACAACATGATTGTTCATTATTTTCTTGATCATTCAGTTAGTTTCTTAGTTTATAAAATGTCAAAAAATTGTGAAAAATATCACTCAAAGCCCAAGATGACGTCTGCAACCCAAATATGTTCAGTTTACAGTCATAGAGGAGGAAAGAAACCAGAAAATGTTCACATTTAGGAAGCTGGAATCAGAAAGTTTGGACATTTTAGTTGTTTAAAAACAAATACTAACAAAATAATCTGTGGTGAATTTAGTAGTTCACCACTAATTGATTAGTGGTTGCTGCTATAAACAATAAGTGACATTTGACAACACGAGTTGTTGTTATTACTGAAGCATATGACAACAAGCAAGACGTCATTCCTCGTGTAGAGAAGTCCAACTGCACTGTTAAATATGTCCTTATTCCAGTTTGGCAGCATTCTCTAAGTTACAGGACAAGAAATAGCAAAGATACTGTATTCATAATATAACACACACCGTCTCCATGAGTACGTATTTTGCCTTTGAGTGATTTTGCTTCACCTCGCCGTGGTATGTGCTCGATGCCGTCTGTCCGTCCAGAGTGCAGAGAAGCAGGGGAACCAGTTGCACATGAACGTGTACAAGATGAAGGGCCAGGCCTGTGGAGGCCCGCTGAAGACCGAGGTCAAGGAGCTGAAGGGGGACCTCCGGCCGGCTCCTCCCTACCCGTCCAGGGTGAAAACGGTGGACAAAGGCACGCAGGTCACCCCCGAGCGAGAAGCTGTAAGGACCCGATTAGACTGTGCTTGTTAATCTTTTCATTAATGGGCAAAGTTTTTAAAATGATTTTAACCCTCCGAACCACAAGCAGCTTCTGGACGTTTTTTTTTGCTCCTGTTACGTTTTTCCTCATTTCTAACCACAATATAAAGTCCTGCACTTCTATGGAAACAGCACAGCCATGACTAGGAGGAGGGAAAACAGTTTGACACAGTTATTATGCCATTAATCATAAAAAGAGGAGAAGATTGCCAACACTTATTACTAATACTGGAAAAAGTGGTGGCTCTGCACACTATAAATATTTGATTTGTTAAAGTTTTTATTTGTTTCTTCCGTTCTGCTCCGTGTCAACACTGCCTGCAGTTCAGCTGAAGAGTCTCTGAATGTTTGTCATGTGGCCTCTGAGTCACAGCAAGAAGTGCAGAACTTAGTTTGTTGCAGAATTTGTTGAGTGCAAAACTTTTTGCCTAATGTTTAAATGAACAACTTGGTTTTGATGAAATCTCACAATTTTTAGCTTTAATGTCGTTATTTTTCAGACGGAGCCGCATGTCACAGGTGACCATTGAAAAAAGAATCAAACTATTTGTGGCATTAAACTTAAAAGCATCCTCACGTTTTATTTTATTGCCTATAAGTGTGTGAACAGCATCATTTCACAGATGGAAATATCTGTTAAACTGTTGAGCAGACAAGCCGACACAATTTCAGTTCTTATTTTCACAGAATTCGGTGCAGACGGTTTATTTTTGGCAAAACTGAAACCAGTAGAATACAATTATTTTGATGAAAAATCTGCATTTTAAGTTTGCGTTTGGTTAATTTTCCCAACAGAGCAGCTCATCACACGTGGTCAGTTTGAGGACTGAAATTAAAGGGTTCTTTCTGTTTTTATGGCTTGTTGCTTTGATAAATGTTGTCATTTTGGAGGTGTTTTAAAAAAAGAAGATTGAACCCTTTTCAAACCCGCCGGCGGCAGCTTTTGTGGTTCAGAGGGTTAATGTTGACGTTTTTGTAGGAACCATTACCCCTGAATGCATGTAAATATTCAATCTGTGGCTAATTACTCGAAACAAGCTCAACTCGTAATTAAATGTGACTTTACTGATGTGATGTTGTGTATTTTGATTCAGGTAGCAGTAAAAGACAACAAGGGGAGCAAACCAGAAGATGAGCCTCCTCCTATGTGGTTCAGATCCTACATGGAGAAGGTAAAGTTCAACTTAAACACATGAATAATTTATGTTTGATGCATGTCGTCAGATGTCGTGGTTCGCTTCTACTTACATTAACTAAACTCCTTTTTTTCTTTTTTTTGTCATAGTTTAAAGACGAGGTGGTGAAGGAGGTGGTCGAGAGGATGTGCAGCGACTTCTCTGGTCAGTGTTGTACCCACAAATCTCCCGATGGGCCGCCCGAGACCGGCGGGGCCATCGGAGGTCCCATAGGACCCCGACCGGGACCCTCCACCTCCAACGGATCCCTCGGCTACACCCCCAACTGCAGCAGCTGCAACAAACTCACCTCTGAAGGAGCCTACAAGTGCAGGTCGGTATCAAACACTCTCTAACACAATGAAGTGACCAGTGAAATGTATTATGTCACACTTTGAATACGCCACATTGACCTTTATTGATTCTTTAAGCGTTTGTGCTTTGCTGAGGTTGTTCTTTTGGCTTTTTCTTGCATCGCTGATGTTCTTTAGCATCTCTAAAACACAAAACCTGTGGAAGGGTTTGACAGGCAGCTTGTCTAAACGAAAATATAAAACAGAACGGCAGCATTTGTCAGAGGAAGAAACTGAAAAAACACAAAGAATCATCAGATTTCTAACTTCTTTCAGGGTTTTCTTGAACTCACTGTGTGACATTAAATTGGGGAAAATGAACCAAATCTACACTGTCATTTATTCAACATTTCTCATTTAAATATTTGCCAAAAATAAACATTTTCCTCCAACCAGATTTAATAAAAAAACAAAACATTTTCCTGCTCTTCGGTGCTCTTGTGAAGCCCTGACTGACTCCACTGCGTTAAACAGTCTTGTGACAAAAATTCGGAAACTATTGTGTTGAACTGCAGGCTGTGTTTCCAGACAGTAGGAGATAAATATAGAAGCAAATCTAAAAAATAAGAAGTCAAATATCTATAGTGTGTGGAGCCACAGTTTTATTTTCTAGTATTGGTCACACCTGTGGACTCTTGGAAATATGTTGAACATGATGATTAAAGTTTTTTTTGTCATTTTGTAACATAAATAATCAAAGAAATTCAACTTTTATTTTGTTTTTTTTTATGATTTATGGCTTCATACCTGTGCAGGACTTTCTATTAATGTATTAAGAATGTAACAGGAGCACAAACGCTCAGCAGCTGGGGGTTAAGCAGCTTTCTGAGAGTCTGTGTTGACATTTTTCTTGCCTTCCAGTGTGTGTCCTTCCTGCATCCTGTGTGAGATGTGCAGACATAGCCATGACCCGAGTCACAACCTCGTCAGAACCAAGACTCCTCTCTCCATCCCCGAGCATGGGATGTCAGGCGAGTTAAGGTAAACCTCCCAGAACTGAGGAATAAATCCAACTTCGTCTTGAAGCAGTTTGAGATCTTTTGTACTTACAACAAACAGTGCTTAGCCCTTTTTGCTCTTACTTCTCCTACATTAACGCAGGAAAACGTAAATATATAAATGCACACAACGCAGGATTGCACAACATGTGTAGCAGCTAGATTACAGTAATTCATGAGTTAGCAGTGGGGATGTGCTTTGTTTTTTGATAAATAAACTTTTGATAGTCAACAAATAGGTGTTCCTGATGACATTTCAAACCAGGTTCCCAAGGCGAGGAGACAGGACAGTGCGCAAGGCCGAGCGACAGCGCCTCAAAGCTGAAAGAAGGCAGCTAAGAGCCGAAGTGAAGGAAATCAAGAAGAAACTGAGACTGGAGAAGAGGGGGCTGCAGTGGAGTGGGCCCTCTACCTCAGGCAGAGCCAACCTGACAAACATGGCCTCGGCATCCACCCAGGTCCCAGCCCTGCCCCCTCCTGCTGCCTCAGAAACAGCCTCAGGTCCAGCCCCAGCCCAAGGTTCCATCCCCGCCCCGGTCCCTGATCCCCAGGCCTCCAGTCCAGAGTAAGCGCCACCTCGGAGAAGGGCGTCCGACAGTGCTGGGTACCTCGAAACCCAGCATGGATGCAAAAAAAAAAAGTCATTTTTTTTCCAAGAAAAGAAATCAAAATATGCCATCTTTGTAATCTAGTCTGTATGAGTGTATCGCTGGCTGCTCTGGGGTGGTGGAAAATGTTGGAACTACCTCAATGTGAAAACTGCTGCTGCTGCTTCATAGATTTTCTAAGAAAAAAAAATGCTTTTGAGCTGCAAAAGAAACAAACAAAAAAAAAAATCTGGGGGTCCTGCTTTTTTGATTCGTAGAGAACAAAAGAGATGGGTGTTATAAGAAACCAGGGCTATTTTCAACAATGCTCTGTACACTTGAAACTAGGGGTCCCGGGGTCTCGCACACGTCCTTGGTGCCCACTATGGCTGCCTTGTTTCTGGATGAAAATCTGCCTGACGGCACCCGTCTGGAGCCTGGTACCAAGTTCATCAAATACTGGAAGATGAGGAACTCGGGCACTATCAGCTGGACCTCAGAGACTAAGGTACCCTCCCACTCGTCGAGAGGACAGGCTCTTTTTTGCCCCCCTTCCCCCCGCTTCACTTCTGTCACTTTGAGCCCAACTCATTGCCTCCTCCTCTTACCCACTAACACCAGCTAAGATTTGAGCCCAATGCCACTGATTACTTTTCTGTCCTTGAGATGTTTCGTTATTTTAATTCATCCGTGTTGTGGTTTTTTAAGTTTCTGTCGCTGTCGCCATTTTTAATTTCTTTCTTTATTTTTATTCTTTTGGTTGCATGCGGTCGTCTTTGTGCTTTTTCGCATGTGTATTCCTATTTTGTGTTTTGTGTATGTGTGTACGTGCACCCAGCTAGTGTTCATGTGGGGGAACCTCGGCTTGGCCTCAGAGGAGAAGAGGGAGGTGCCGGTGCCCCTGCTGCTGCCCGGACAGGTGGGAGTGGTCAGTGTGGCGTTCGTGGCTCCGGTGATGGAGGGGACGTACACCTCCCACTGGCGGCTGGCGCACTGCGGCTGCCAGTTCGGCCCTCGCGTCTGGTGCAGCATCGTGGTCGGCCCCGGCAACAGACGCAACGCCATCGGGCGTCCGAGCAAACGACGGGCAAGTCTGCAAAACTGGACCTCTAGAGCATCCTTAGAGCACGCCAGCGTGCTTCAGAACACCTCTGAGGACGGTGGAACGCGCCTAAACTTTAGCATTTTTGAAGACCGTTGTGTCCTAAAACCTTATAATTACAATCACTGCTGTGTTATTGACATTAAATTCATCTATTTTCACACCAGAGACTGGGTATTATCGGACTGTATGAGGCCGAAATCTCAACATCCCATCTTGTTCTGCTGTAGTCATACAGAATATTTTATTTCTAAATAATTTAGGACTCTTTCTGATTAGTTTTCCAGTTATTTGCTGTCATATGAAGCACAAAAGCAGCAAATCCTCTCATTCTGAGGACAGGAAACAGTGAGTCTTTAGTAATTTAATATATGTGAGAATCAGTCAGAGTCATTTCAAACTGTACTGATTGAACTTTTTTAATGTTTTGGAACACATCTGGCTGAAAAAGGCCGTTTTAAAACTTAAGTTAATTTCTGGAAATCATCTCGGTTTAAGCGCTGTGGCAGCCACTGATCTAAAACATGTTCTTAATAAAGCTACTTAACTGTTTCTGTATTTAAATCATGGTATTTAAATTCATTTTTTTTAGTGATTAGTTACTGAAAATTAGGGGAAAATGTTAAATATTCACAATCTTGTCTTCTCAATATGCTGCTTTGTGTGTCTGGTATTACAGAAAATAACTGACATTAATTCATCTAATATTAAATGATGTTATTTTAAATTAACATTTTAGTAGGAATGTAGCAGAATTAGATGGTATGTTGAAGTTTTAGGCCTCATGCTTTACCAGGTTTTGTCACAGCATTCATTTTTCCAACACAAAAAGCAAAAATATGTTGATTTCAAGTCATTTTTAAATATAATATTTGAATTCTAGAAATCATCTTGCAACCCCTACTTCAGGAACCGCTGATCTAGATTATACTGTTAATTGTTTTTCTGTTTAAAAAGCATGTCTAAATCATACCCCTGCAACAATTAAGTGATTAGTGACAGAAAAATAATCATTTTCTGTATAAAAATGAAGAAGAAATGCTGAATATTTCCTGAGAATTTGCTGCTTTTTGCGTCTAATATTGCCGCAAGATTAATCAGAAGTAGGTCTGAATTATTTGAAATTAAAAGTTCATCGTAGATGTAGCAGAACGAGATGTTGCGCTGAGATTTTAGGCCTCAAACTTCACAAATTTTCGCCACAGCAGCCTGTATAAATCCATTTTCCGGCGTAAAAACGGATAAATGTTGTGTAAATAATACAGCGGTGTTTGTGATTCGGATCTAAAGAGAAATAAAAACCAACAATCTTCAATACTGCTGGATTTTAGGTGCTTTTGTTCTTGAAAAAGGGGTTATATGTGTACATGGTAGTCCTTATCAGTAGGTTTGAAGGTAAAAAAAAAACCTAAATCCTGAGTTAAAATCTGAGTTTTTGGTTAATAGATGCTTTCAGACAACCTAACACACCAGTAGTTGTCATTTTTATAACTAGAGTGGGGATGTTTGAACGCCGCGATGCTAAAGATGCTGCTGTTGTTTGTGCTTCAGAAGGAGGAGGTGATGCCGGTCGAGAAGGAGAACGAGGGAAGGTCCAAGGACGTCCCCGACCTGTCCGTAGACCTCCACCACGCAAACTTCTACTTCCCCTCCGTCGACCTGCTGACTGCACAGGTGCACGCTGGGAAAACTTCAGCACACTGAAGCGTGATTTAAAGTAGCTTCAAGTGATTTTTGTGCTGTGAAGCTGCACAAAACACAAAAGTAATTTGTATTAAAAATGTGCTCATCTGTTCTGTGTTTTAGGATCTTCTGTCGTTTGAGTTACTGGACATCAACATTGTACAAGAGCTGGAGAAGGTTCCCAACAACACTCCCGTGGGTGAGTAACATCTGATGCCTCAAACGCCCACAGAATTCGTTCCCTCCGAAATCTCCTCGGTTTTTATGGGATAAATTCTAGCTTTTGTTTTGGCTTGAATACACAAACGTTAATGTGCATGAACGGTGTTTTGTTTCCTCCAGATCTGACTCCCTGCATATCCCCTCTTCCCCACGATGCTCCGGTGCTGGAGAAGGCCGTCGCCGCGCAGATCAAGGAAGACGCGGAGGTCTCGGGGGTCCGAAAACTTTTCGGTGAGACCAGTTTGATTGATAGAAAACGTGTGAATTTATAATTAGGAATTAACGAAATGTGTTGCGGTTGGACTCAAAAAAAAGAACGTACGAAGGCCGCTGAACATTCAAGTAGAAACCTCTTTAAGCCTGTTGAGTGAATCTAGAGATGGTTTTTTAGCGTTGAGCCGAGAGTTTTAATTGTTCTGTCGAAAATATCATAGAATGGTGAAAAAAAACAACAAAAAAAACACCTCAAACAGTTCATAGAGGAGGAAAGAAACCAAAAAATATTCACATTTAAGAAGCTGAAATCACAGCGTTTTGACTTCTTTTTCTTTAAAAAATGACTCAAATTGATAAATCAATTATCAGATTGATAGTTGATTAATTGCAGCTCTATTGTTTGGATTACGTCCTGCTGTGCGTGTGTCCACAGGATCTATGCAAGCAGCTGTGTGATGCACTCTGGCAGCATTTCGAGAGACGGGGCGTCACGTTGCTGCTCCTTATTTGCATTAAGTTTACGTTTCGGCTAATTTATTTAAACCGCGGGCCTCCAGCTGCTACTCTGAAAGCCTTTAAAACTAACCACAGTCGATTGGAAGTTAAAGCAAATTCAGCAGCTGCGCGGCTTGTTTCCCTCCTCGGATGCTTTCAGAAACAATTTTTGTAAAATAAGACAAAGTTTCCAGCGTTTAGGTTGCGTTCGTCCAGTCAGCGTTTGTTGTAGGACGGTCTAGCTTGTATTGGAAAACTAGTGACGGCTACATTTTTGTGGCATCTGCTGGGAAACTTCACCAATCAAATGTCCAAAACTGGGAACTAGCACGACCCTAAAAACAAACGCCGTTGATTTTATGCATCAAATCTGCAAGTGACGCCACTTCTGTGAGCGTCGTCTAAATGTGGAGTTAGACAATGTGTGAGCTTAGCAGACCTCTGTAGCTTCATCCTCATGTCTGCGTGAGCCTGGAAGCTGCTCACGTCAGGTTGCATTGTGGGTAACGTAGGCACCAAGAAAAATTGAAGCGAAATGCTCGACTCTCGTGTTTCTGCTCAGGAGTGAAACTGAGGCCTCAGAGGGAGATGCTGGAGTCGGTGGCCCAGGAGGAGGACAAGGACGAGGAGATCAGCGGAGCTCAGTTCCTCTGTGAGACGGTGATCCGGTCCCTGACGCTGGAGGAAGCCCCCGACCACAGACCCCTGCGAAGGGCCCAACACAGCAGCCTCAAACCGCAGCGTAAGACGCCGCTAAACGAACCACAGTCGCCCCGCTAACAGCCGCACATTTGGTCACTCTCGTTTTTCATCCCAGTTGTTCCTCGCGGTCCGAGCTTCTGCTTCGAGAGACCGGTCGACGCCAAGAAGACGGAGAGGAACCAAGAAATAAATGAGGAAATCTGCGCCGTCAGACTGGAGAGTTCAGCCGGACCCAACCAGATCCCCAAGGAGGTGGAGACCAGGCCGGGTTAGTGGAGAACCTCCAGGATTCTGTTTGTTTCCTGTTGAAGGAGAGTTTGGTTTCTTTGACTTAACACCAGTTCACAGCAGGATCAGCAGCGATCTGAATCGGTTTAAGTTTCTGCCACATTTAGAACATTTGCACTTCTTTACTTTGCTTTTAAACACCTTTTTTCCAACAAGGAACTAAAGTCGTTTTGTCGCTCTTTCCAAAGCCACCAGACTCCAAAGACAAAATCTGTGATTTCACCTCACAGAACGCAGGAATTGCTGGTTTGTCACTGTTAGATGTTGGCGTTTTAGTGCCTAAAAAATCCCCAACTAAAGACATCTCTATCAGTTGAAGCGTACGCTATATTTAGCCTGTTTTCACGGTTTTACCTTCACAACTTTAGCTTTTATATTATTCCCTTCAGAGGTACCAGACTCCATTGATTAAATCAGTAATTTTACGTTGTAGAACACAAGAGTTGCTGGTTAGATTTTGATGTTTCGACACCTAAAAAATACCCTAACCCTAAAAAAGTCTGTATTACTGGCAGTGTAATCTATATTTAGACTATTTTCACAGCTTTAATAGTGTTTTCTCCAAAGCCACCAGACTCCATTGACAAAATCTGTGATTCCACCTCACAGAACTCAGGAACTGCTGGTTTGTTACTGTGATGTTGGCGTTTTAATGCCTAAAAAATCCCCAACTATAAACATCTGTATCGGTTTAGTTGTAAGTTATATTTAGACTGTTTTCACAGGTTTACATTCACAGCTTTCGTTTTTATATTAATTCTCTTCAATGCTACCAGACTCCATTGACAAAATTGGTAATTCTACTTTGCAGAACTCGAATTACTGGTGTTCAACCGTTTGACTTCTTGCAAAGACTCGTCTACAACCATCTGCATCGCTTCAGCTGCACACTGTATTCAGACTATTTCTACAGCTTTAGCTTTTATATTCTATCTAAGGCATTTTAAAGTTGCTGAAAAATTCTGGTCCACAGTTGCCTCGATCGATTAGTTTGTTCGTGTTATTGTGTTTTTACATTTCGTTTTTTTTTTTGTTTTTACAATAACAGACCAGCGACTCCTGTGACCTGTGAGGTAAAATGACTGATTTTGTCAATAGAGTCTGGTGGCGTTTTAAAAAAAATCTGTCTGAGGGCAAGTTTAATATGTGACCCCCTTAGTTTTAATGCCAGGCCCACCTCATACAGCGTCACCTCAAAGAAACCAAACTAGTCCTTCAAACACTCGCTCTAAGTCATAATGAAAATATTAATCTGTTGAGCTTCACCTGCAAAATCCAGATGCTTATTCAGTTTTTTTGTTTTTTACGTTTAAGTTCTTATTCTGCAACCAGAGACTGAAAACCTTCACGTCACTTCTCATCACGATAACGAGGACAAAGAAGTGTTGCACGCGATGCAAAACACGAAGGAAAACCCGGACGAGAAAGAGGAGGGAGGAGCTAAAGGAGAAGACTGGGACGAGGTGAGCTTTTAGCCTTTTTAGACAAATGTGTCTAAAGATCTGTGGACAGAAGATGTGAGAAAAGACTAAACACAGTAGGACAGAACTAGTTGTTTTCTATCTCTAGTCTGGGTGTAGAAGCAGGAAACCCTGGACGCTTCAGTTGGTTCAATTCGACCTTTTGTTTAACTTAACAAATATAAATTCTCAGTGAAAGCTGGTATTCAAATAAAAAAGACTCTCCTCATAATCAGATGGCAGCTGGGGCCACGTCCTGCACGAACACATAAAGGCCAGTTGGGATTAAAAGCAGAGTCAGTAACACATTCATGAGGCTCCAGCTGCCTGTAACCAACAACAACATGAAGAGCTCAGTGCAACATCTGCCGAGTGATGTTTTTATTCTAGGAGGCGATTGTTGCTGTTGTTGTTTTGTGAACTTTTGCTCTGATGCTCTTTTTCTGCCTCTTCAAGTTTGTTGAAGGGTAAATATTTAAAAGTCTCTTGTGTTTTAATTCAACGTGCTGATGAAGCTGTCGCGCTCATGACCTCTTGTGGTGAAAGTGTGCAGCTGCATAAAGAAGCTCTGACGAACTATAAACCAAAGTTAGAGTGGTGCAAGTCGTGGTGCAGTCCCAGGATCATCTATACTGTAAAAGCATACATTAAGGGGAAAAAAAAGGCATTTTAACAACGTTTTCTGTAGGATTTTGTGTTATTTTAAATTGTACAACCAAGATTTTCCATTTTTAAATATATGTAGAAATCCAGCATCTTACTTGTTATTAATTATGATGTTTTTATTTTTATTATTGTCCTAAGATAAATCAAAAATGTACATGGTGGTGAATCTCAAAATGTTAATACATGTTAAAGAAGAAGTCATTTAGTCAAAATTGATTTGAAAAGGTCAACTTTAATATATTCTGTATTCATGATGTGTACGTGATCGTATTTTAATCCTTTTTTATTTGTAGTTTTTAGCCTTCTTCTGATTTAATTAATCTAAAGCTCATGAAAATCAGAAATCCAGTATCTTAGATTGTTTATTTATTAGGAATTTTTATATTTTTTTATTCCCACAATCATCCTAAGAACAAGTATTGTACTGAAATATGTGACAAATGAACAAATTATTAATTTTTTTCCTCTATTTTACAATTACTGCACAAGTGAATCAAAAAAATAAAAAATAAAGGTCTTTTAAAAACATTCCAAATTTATACACTTATAATATGCTTAAAAGTATGTAATTGAAATAATATATATTTATAAAAAGTAAAGCAATATGTCAACTTATTTATTATTAATTGTTATAGTTTTTCTGTTTAAGCAGTTTCCCTTCGGGGATCAATACAGTATCTCTGATTCTGATTTATTGTTATTCTAAGATGAATGTGGGCAATAATTATCAAAATTAAAATAGAAAAATGCTTGAAATGTTTTACTTTATGTGCAATGAATTTGGAATATGTTCTATTGTTTACTTTAAAAATATAAAACTTTTGTCATGATATTCACATTTTATTTTATTTTTTAGATATTTTTGAGCCATAATGTGTATATATCTATATGGATATGTTACACCGTCACTCTCTAGTGATAAAGTCCATGTTTGTGTCTCAGGTGAGCAGCCAGACCTCCTCCGTCTCCTCCTGTGACGACTACATCATCGTCCTCCCTGACTGCTTCGACACCAGCCGGCCTCTGGGGGAGTCCATGTACAGCTCCGCCATGTCGCAGCCCGACGCCGTCGCTGCCGCCGCCGCCGCCGCGACCTCGGCCGACCCGGAGCCAGACGAGGAGGAGGAGGAAGAGCTGGAGGAGGAGGAAGAGGAGCTGGAAGAGGAGCTGGAGGAGGAGCTGGAGCCGGACCAGGCAGTGCCGCTGACGGAGAGGCGGGAGCGGACGGAGGCTGCCGAGGACTCGCTGAGCAACACCTGGCCTCCTCCCGCAGCCTCCATCCACAGCAGCGTGAACCAGATGCTGTGCGCCTCCCAGACGCTGGACGCCGTGACGCTCACCCCGGAGGTGGTGCCACAGCCGGTCGCTCCTCAGCCGCTGCTGCCGCCGCCGGCCCTCTACTCGCCCAGGTCAGACCCGACCCGGTACCGCTCAGAAGTCTGTGAACCTCTTCAGACCTGGCCTCCACATGCATGTGATCTTAGTACCACAGCTGTTACATTTTTTTACTTTTGTTTTTATTTTTATTATTTTGTTGTTATTATTTATTTTATTTTTTATTTTAAAAAAATATATTTAATCGATTTTTTAAAATATGTGTATTTATATTTTCTTTATATTTTTTATTCTCTTTGCTATTTGATCAGATCAAATGAAAATAGAAAAAAATGCAGGTCAAACAAGAGCTCTGGTCTAAAGACGTTAAACAGACTTTGTCCAAACATCCCACCTGAGATATTCTAGAAAATTATCTGTTCACCCTCTGAACTAATTTTTTGTTCCTGTCTGTTTTATTCTCCGTGGGCTCTTTTTTATTTTTTTAATTCACTAAAATATAAAGTCCTGCACTTCTATGGAAACAGCACAACCATGACTACAAGTAGAGGGAACTCAAATGTATATTTTGTGCCGTTTAACAAAGTTTTAATATCACACATCATAAAACAGAAACACCTGGAATGCACATGTTTACCAGATGCCAACAGGTGTTACCAATCCTGCAAAACTTTAGCTTCACGCTAAAAAAGAACCAGTGGCTCTACATACTTAATGTCCTCTTTACATTTTTAAAACCTCGGCTCATGAGCTGCAGAAACATGTTTCACCGTGTTCAGTGGATCTTCCAACATGTTGCTCCTCCATTTTTTTAAAATTTAATTTTATTGATTAAATATAGTTTATTTTGCTCTTAATTTCTATACTTTGCGCCCCCTCTTTGCTCTGTGTGAACACTGCCTGCAGTTTAGCTGAATAGTTTGAACAATCTGGTGCAAATTGTTCATTTTTGTGGAATTTCCAAATGAGCCACATAGAAGGTAGTGATTTAGATTAAATGTCACAATTCTAAGTTTACATTTGGTTAACTTTCCAGACAGAACCGCAAGTCGCTGATGACGAGTTCATGGACTGGTGGAAAGTTACAAATCCAACATTTTTTCTGTTTCTGCCTTGATTTTTAGGTGTTTTAGGTTTATGCAAACGGAACAAGTAAACCTCCTGAAATTTTCGATTTTCAGAACTTGCCCTATCTATGTTTTAACATTTTCACTCCAGCCTTTAATGGTTTCATTCTTGTTTTCTTGCTGTAACTTGTAGATCTGAGGCACTGTACCTGGCTGAGGATCCAAGCCCTCCAGCCTGTGAACCATATGAGCCACATCAACCACGAGTCCACCTAAACGGTGAGTTTTACCACCACAGTAACTACAGTACAAACCATGTATGCTCTGGCACATAACAGTTTTAAAAAAATCAGGTCGCTGAGCTTCAGCGTTGCCTCACAGTCGGCCAGATTTTTATGACCTGAATTAGCAGTTTTTCGTTCTGTCTCTGAGGCAGCAGAGGAAACACATTTTCTTCGCGGTGTGAAGACGGGAAGTCGGACGGCACACGAGCTTTCAGGATTTGTTGTTTCAGCAGAAAGCTTCTGTTCCTTCTCTAATGTGTGGTTTTGTGTTGTCTTTTCTGTTTTCTGTGTAATCTGCAGTATCATCTGGTCTGTCCAGATCAGCAGGCTCAGCATCCAGTGCCTTCGAGACGTATAATCCCAGACCCAGCAACGCTCTGCAGCCAAGGTGCACAAACAGTCCTAGTGTGTTTATCTGCCTTCAGCGTCCAATACTTACTCCGTGTGACCGCTGACGGCGACTGAACCACGTCTTTAAAGTGTGGTTTCGTGTGCGTTTGTTGAAAAAGACGCGAACCGGAACGCTTTGTTCCCTGTAGCGCTGTTGCGTAACCACAGGTCTGTGTTCGTTCTGTTTCAGGGGCCAAGGAGGCATCACAGAGGGACTCGTCAAGGGCGCCCTCTCTGTGGCAGCATCTGCTTATAAGGCTCTATTCACTGGACCAAACTGTTCCATTCAGGTAGGTCACACTGCAGGTAGCTCAAAATGCATGACAGCGGCAGTGATTGCATCAGAGAACTGCACAGGAAGAGGCGGAGAGCAGAGTCAGTGTGATGTTAGAGATACCGTACCACAGAGCTGCAGCTGCTCATGTTCGGATTCCACCTTCTTAAACGTGAATACTTTCTCATTTCTTCTATGACAGTAAACTGGAACGATGCTAGGTTAAGGCTAGCACTAAGCGGCTAACGCTACCCGGAGCGCCTGTGGCATCTTTTGAAAGTCGGATTAACTTCAACAATCTGCTCTAACCGACCGACACGACTCTCCAGCAGAAGTTTGCATGCAGTCGTCCTCAAACGTATTCACACCCTTCCATTAAAGAAAAGGCAAAACTCTCAACAGTCACTCAAATAACTAGAAACTGGAAAAAGTAATAATACATAAAAATTTGCTAAATTATAATTTAGTGAAATAAGATGTTGCTTTTGATCTGTGGTTGAAAAGAATAATTTAAAAAAACAAAAATGTCCCGGACAAATCAGAGCACTTTGCTGATGAGCAGTGGGTCTGACTGAGAGTTACAGGAAACACCTGATCAAGGGTGTTCAACTAAATATTAGTTTATGGGTCCCATCATGCTTGTTTGCTTGTTTTTGTTTTTTTTTATATTTCTGTTGAACCACAATTCAAAAGCAACGTCATGATTTTCATTAAATTTTTATTTATTGCTTTTGCCAATTTCAGCTTATTTCAGTGACAGCTGGGTTTTTTTTTCCCTCTTTAATGGAGGATTTGAATACATCTGAGGACGACTGTACACTAAGATTACTATGCCTTTAAACTATTTATATTTTACTGTACACAGTGCCTAACATGTGTTCATCACTGTATAAGTGAATATATATAAACAGGCTGTCAAGTTGAAATCAGTCCTAGTTTGCTGCTTTTCTTTTCTTTGTGAGGACTTGAAAGCTTCAGAAATTCAACAACATTTGGGTGCAGCTTTATAAACGGCCTGTATCAGTCTTTATATCGTCCGTCTCACCTCCTGCTCCGGTTTCTCTCCTCCCAGCGAGGCATCGACCCAGCCACCAGACAGGACCCTTCCATGATGGCCATGCTGCTGGAGATGGGCTTCAGAGACCAGCGGCTCAACCAGCAGCTGCTGAGGAAGCACGGCTACAGCCTGCTGCACACCGTCAACGAGCTGGTTCAGATGGCCGAGGACAGCCAGAACGAAGCCGTGGACGCTCTGCACTGAGGGGGAGACGCCTGAAATCTCTCGCCCCCCTTCCAGCGTTTTAACTTATTTCGTGATTGATTGATTATTTTTCTCTCTCCAAAAGGGTGGATAGTGGAACAAAAATAGCAGCATTTATTCCTTGATTGTGGGAGATAAATGATCACGAATGGCTTCTCCTGCCTTTGCCTTTAATTTTAGCTTTCACCATTTCGATGAAAACGAGCATCTATTGTAAATTACTCTGGATAGCGGCGCTAACCTCGGAGCTTCGCGTCTGCAGGAGGCTGTAGTTCGGACAAAAGTGTGTGTTTCAGCTCTTCATCTTAGTGTTTGTATGGCTGTCGTAGCTGCTTCCTCGGCGCTGAATAATAATTGTCTTTTCGACGGGGCTCGGCTTGATTCTGATCGAAAAGGAAGGTTGTTGAATGTCATTAAAAAATAAATAAAAGCTAGAAGAGCCAGCTCTCGATGCTATTGAAGCTACGTGGATATCCTGGGTCAGAGTGCAGTAACCAGATCAAGAAAGGAAAAAAAAAAAAAAGACAACGAATATTTAAGACTTTATCTCGATTATTATTATCGTAGTAAAATCTGCCTAACAATGCAATCTTTTTCTGTATCAAGAGTACTGTTATTTTAGACGTTGACATGTGGAATGTACACAAAATACTGTCGGATCCGACTCGACATGTTTTCTACTGCTTTTTAGGAGACACCTGCATGACAGGTAGAGGCTTTAGAGATGAGTCGTGTTCTCGTGGTCTTAGCAACAGTGGAAAAAAAAAAAAAACAACAACAAAAAAAACAAACAAACAACGGTCCGCTTTGCGTCATCTTTCTATCACCTCCCGCCTGCCTGCGTTTCTTCTCACACGTCCGACCACCAACTGAAACCGAGCAACTGTCGTTTTAACTCGAGCCGAGATGTCTCTTAACTTCACATTCCTCGATCTCATAGTGGAACCAAGTATATTTAATTTTCTCTTCATTGCCTTTTATGATGGAAATATTACACAAAAAAAGAAAAAAAAATCTTAGTTTACTGAAACATTCATGTGAATTGTGGTTTGTGTGGGGTTTAAGTTAATGTTGTTTTTGAATGATTCCTCCTTCATGTGTGCGACTGTGTGTGTGTGTGTGTGTGCGGTCGGGGTTTTATCGAACCATCGTTTTCTCACGTTTGAGATGTTTTAAAGGAACATGCTCTAGAGAATAATTCTGAATATATCTTCAGTGCTTGTCAAATTATTCTTCTGCAACGGAGTGTATACATCCAATACCCTTCTGTCAATCCGCCAATAAACTATTTGCACATCTCTCCCTCGGCTCCTTGTGTTTGTGGAAATGTAGGTCGAACCGCCCGTCACTGGCTGTTTGTTTTATATGGAGTTGGTTCTGTACAAGGGTTAAAAGTACAAAGGTTAGCCTGAAGTGACAGTGCAGCATTTCTGACCAACACAACTGACTCATCCTGTAATGACATCCTGCGTTGTAATAATTTAAAGCCTGCAAATGGTCTGGCGTTAAAATCTAATCGTAGCAGATGAAGTATTTTAGCTTCTCTTGAGCTCACATGGCGCAAATATTGTAATAAAGTTGTGTTTGAGGATAAGTTGAATACTTTAGGGTATTTGCTTTCCAACCAAGAGGTGATGAGAACATTGAGGCCACTTTTGTGTCAGTATGATAAATGTGAAGCGACAGCCTGGTTAGCTTAGCTTAGCTGAATAACTAAAACAGCCAAAGCACACACATTTCAAATGATATATATTGTTCTTTTTAATTTATGCAAAAGGCACAAAAATGACTTGATTAATGTGGTTTGAGTTACAATTACTTGCTTCATATCTGTCTATGTTTAAATGTTCAGATGCAGCCAGCAGCTGGTTAGCCTAGCTTAGCTGAAAAACAAAGCCACAAATTAAAATGTTATATATTTATATGGGGGAAAAAGGCACATAAATGAGTTGACTGTGAAAAAACATCTTCGTTTGGCGTAAAATAACTTAATATTTGTTAATGGTTAAATATAGGAATGCAGCTAGCACCTGGTTAGCTTAGCTTAGCACATAGCTTGGAAACAGGTGAAAACAGCTAGCCTGCTTTGCAAGCTAAACAACAGCTAGAGATTGTGAATGTTTATCTGGGTTACAGAAAGGACTCACTTAAATGTTTATGGGTTAAATACAGCCAGCAGCTGGTTAGCTTAGCTTAGCTGAAAAACACGGTCACAAATTCAAATGTTATATATTGTTATATATTTATGTGGGGGGGAAAGGCACACACATGAGTTGGCTGGGGTTGAAGAAATTTCTTGGTTTGGGATAAAATAACTTAACATTTGTTAAAGGTTAAATATAGGAATGCAGCTAGCACCTGGCTAGCTTAGCTTAGCACATAGCCTTGAAACAGCTAACTTGCTTTGTAAGCTGAACAAAAGGTTAAAGGTACAAAAACAGCTCGGTTAGAGATTGTGAATGTTTACTATCTGGGTTAAAGAAAGGACTCACTTGGATGATTATGTGTTAAATGCAGCCAGCCAGCCGGTTAGCTTAGCTTAGCGCATAAACAAAAACGAAGCACACAAATTAAAAAGGTATATATTTTCCTTTTAGTTTGTGCAAAAAATGGCTTGGTTAGGGTTGGTAAAATATCACTGTTGTATTTAAAACACATGCTTAATAGCCACCCAGCTTAGCTTAGCTTAGCTTAGCTTAGCTTAGCACACAGCCAGGAAACAGGGAGAACAGCTAGCCTGGTCTGCCCCTTAACCCTTAGTAAGACACTGAATTATTGTTTTTAAATCAAGTCTCTATGATATTGAGATGATACACACACCAAAACTAATTATAAAGTAGTTAGTAAGCTTTTGAGGTGCTCGCAGGTGGATTTTGTTCTATTTTTTTTTGCTCTGACACAGAAAATATCATGATTTTATGCTATTTTGGATATTCCAAAGACAAAAAGTCCAACATTTAACAGCTGAGAAGTTGTTTTACTGTGTTAAAAATGATATATGTTACAGTAAATAACTATGTTTCTTCATGTAATATAAAGTAGTGCAAATAATTGTGACCAAAACATGTTTATGTTGTAATCAGACATGACATTATGATGATTATATCCAATGTTCTAGTTTTATTTCCAGACTGTTGTTGTGTTTGGTCTTTCTAATATCCTCGTTTAGACTGAAATTAATGTTATTGACAGTCCTGAAACTAAATTAAGCTAATTAGGCTATCTTACATTAGATTTCTAAAAAGAAAATATTATTAAAACTACAACATACAGAAAGTGACTGTAGATTGTGCATCGTGACCTCAGTGTTATCAATGCATGATAAATAACTTGATTTATTGTACAGATCATAGGCCATAGGACAAATGCAAAACAGATAATTTCCTTATTTTATGTATTAAAATCATATAATGTTACTGTCAGTCTGAACAAGGATGTTAAAACCAGCAGTCTGTAAACTAAACTATAACATCAGATATAATCATTATAGTTTAATGCCTGTTACAATATAAACATGACTTAGTAAATAAATATTTGTAGGAAAGTCTTTGTTTGTTTGTTATCAGCACAGATGTGAAGTTTTGATCCAGATGAAAGCAGCTGTTTTAAAAACGCAGCCTGCAGCTTTAACAGCAACATTCTGACTCATGCTTCCGTTTTTTTGGCACATTACCTGCAGCTCAAACTTAATTTCAGGGTTTATCTGTCATGCAAACATACAGCTGAAGCCAGACCTCCAGTGAACATCTGCTGATTTCATGAAGGGAGGAGATCAGAGGAGAGGAGCCGCACATGTGACCAGCTGACCTGCGAAGCTCCAAACGAGGAAGTGCTTCTGCCTCCGCGCGTCAACACACTGGAGGCGGCTGTCCGCGCGTCTTCATGGGGATTTTTATCTGAAGAACAGATTATTTAGGCATCCAGCGGAGTTGGGAGTTTGATTCTTGAGGACTGAAGCGGAGTTTAAGGCGCTGAGAGGTGAGTGCGCCGCGCAGGACGCGTCTTGTGCGGATCAGAGGGTCGTGGATGACGGAGGCGCGCTGGGCCTCGGTCCACACGTCAGGACAGCAAAACAACAGAAACGTTTCTTTTTACTTTTACTCAGCTTTAAAGATAAGAATGTATGCGGTTCAATCCGGGATGAGACAATAAGAAGTTTCTGAGCGTCAGAAAGTTACACAGAGATCCTTAAAAAATAAAAGTCTGCGTCAGAAACAGGCGGAAAATGAACTTTCATTTTTATTTTTTTTAAACCAACATCAGTCCTGGTTGTAACTGATAAATATTTCTTTATTTTAACCCTTTGAATGCCAGTTTGTTTACTGTAGTTATGTAGAAATAGAAATGTTTAAATCGTCCTTTTCTGTCTAATAAGTGCTTTTAGAAATAAAATGTAAAAGAAATGCATCAATAATCAGCACCAAAACTGATTCAAACGAATTTTTAAAAGCTCAAATTGCCATAAAATGATATATATTCAGCTGACTTTCTACTTTAAATGATCATAATTACCAAATGTTTATTCACCTGTAGGATTTTAACCCTTTATATGCCGCTGCTTCCATCCAATAAGTGCTTTGTTGTTGTTGTTGTTGTTGTTGTTTCACAGACAAGTGCGTCAATAATTAGCACCAAAATTAATTCTGGTGCACTTTATTTTGCAGTATCAGATTTTTAAAAGCTCAAATTGCCATAAAAATGAATATATTTAGATTATTTTCTACTTCAGGTGATTGATTTATTGACCCAATATCAGTGTTGATCCTCATTACCAGATGTTTATGATGTTTGGGGGGATTTTAACCCTTTAAATGACAGTTTGTTTACATGATGCCATTTGTTATTGTTGTTATTATGTATACAGTTGAAACCAGAAGTTTCCGTCCACAGTATAAAAAGACACGTAGCCTTTTTTTCTCACTATCTGACATTAAATCAAACTAAACTTTTCCTGTTTTAGGTCAGTTAGGATGAAGTAAATTATTTCTATTTGCTAGAATAATGAGAGAGAGATCTTCTATTATTCTCTTCAAAGTCAGGAGTTCCACTAAGATGCCTTCAAACTATTTGTGAAAGCCCAGATGATGATATTTGTGGCTAATTGGAGGCAAACCTGTGGATGTATTTTAAGGCTCATCTCAAACACTCTGCCTCCTTTAATGACAACATGGAACATCTAAAGAAACCAGCCGAGATATCAGGAAGAGAACTGTGGACCTCCACAGGTCTGGTTCATCCTTGGGTACAATGTCCAGATGCTTGAAGGTTCCACGTTCATCAGTTCAGACAGTTCTATCAAGTATAACCACCATGGGAATGTCCAGCCATCATAGCGCTCAGAAACCAGTCCTGTACCCACATGGGCTGGAAGGCTGCTCAGAGAGGAAGAAGACATCACTCCAGAAGGAACATAGAAAAGACAGATTACAGTTTGTAGATGCACACAGGGACAAAGAGCTTCATCAGTGGAGACATGTCCTGTGGTCTGATGGAACTAAACCTGAACTGTTTGGCCTTAATGACCATCGTTACATCTGGAGGAAAAAGGAGGAAGCTGGAAGCCTGAGAACACCATCCCAGCTGTGGAGCACGGGGGTGGCAGCATCATGCTGTGGAGGGACTGGTGACCTTCACACAATAGATGGCATCATGAGGAAAGAACATGATGTGGAGATACTGAAGCAACATCTCCAGACATCAGCAGGAAGTTACAGCTTGGACACTAATGGGTCTTCAGATGGACAATGAGCCTCAGCATAGCTCCAGATTAGCTACAGAGAGGCTTCAGGACAACAGAGTCAGTGTTGTGGAGTGGCCATCACAAAGCCCTGATCTCCATCCTGGAGAACATCAGTGGAGCAAGGAGACCAACAAACCTGACCCAGTTCCACCAGTTCTGTCAGGAGGAATGGGCCAGAACTCATCAGACTGTTGTGAGAAGCTTGTGGAAGGAAACCCAGAACGTTTGACCCAAGTCATAGAGTTTAAAGGCAACGCTAGCAGATACTGAGGAGATGGATGGAAACTTCTGACTCTGAAGAAAGTCATAAAAAATTCTCTCATTATTCTGTCATTTAGCAAACAGACATAATGTTGATGATCCTGACTGACCTGAAACAGGAAAAGTTTAGTCGCATTTAGTGTCAGACTGTGAGAAAGAAGCTTCTGTGTCTTTGTATGCAGTGAATGTAAACTTCTGGTTTCAGCTCTACGTCTGATCCATTTACTGAAGTGGAGCAAACGCACTCAGCTCTTCGTCAACTGCTGCAGATTTAGGCTCAATCTTTGAATTGTTCACACCAGTGAACACATAACGCTGAACAGAGCACATTTCTTTTATTACAAGTGATTTCCTTCAGCTGCACTCATGACGTGGGTTTTATAATGTGTCTATGAAGGCCGTTAAAAACGTCGCTTTGGCAAAACCCGACAGAACAAACCAGTTGAGCTTCATTCTGATCAAAATGGAAGATGTGCAGATCCATTTGCTCGGTGCGAGTTTCAAAATAAAAGCATTTGAGCTTCGCATGTTGAAGAAGTTACAAACAAACAATAGAAAACATGCATTTCTTTGTTTTTATGCTACTTCCAATGCATTCATAGAATAGAATAGAATAGAATAGAACCTGATTGATCCCTTTGAAATTTTTTGAAATTATTCTAGCTGCTATTAGTAACTTAATGAAGGTGAAACGTGGTCGTAGGTGTTTGATTGTCCAACAGTTCTCTGAGGTTTTGCTCAGTGGAAGCTGTTGTGAAAGCAGAATGATGCCTCAATAAACAGAACAGTCATTTCTCATAATTGCATCAGTGCAGCCCTGCAGACGTCTGTTTTATTCTGCAGGAGGAGGAACACTGCAGGTCAGACTGAATGTTAAAGCTGCGTTTTCTAGAATATCTGAAGGAGAACTCAGTTTATTGAGCTTTTTTTGAGAGCTCGTTTTTATTGCTTTGGATACTGTGAATGTAAGAAAAGTTAATTAGTTTTTCTGTGTCATCCGGTAGCCGTGGCTGTTTTATGAAGCCCTAAAACAAAGTGAGCGAGGCGACGTTCCCACCCTGGACTCTGCTCGCATCCCGACATTTACAGCAAGAAAGTGCTTTCAGTGCTGGTTTAAAGGTTCAGGGAGCAGGTGACTCGGGTGGGGAGGTATAAGTGGAGGCTGCTCGCCTGGTTTGTTCTGACGAGTTTCGTTCTGACGCCAGGACACGACCGCCGAGGATGGAGAGGGAGAGAACGCTGAAGCATTTTCCGACCTACGGGGGCATAAACGAAGGCTCGTCGGGGGAAACCTGCCCGACGTGTCGCGGCACCGGACGCATTCCCAGAGGTTCGTTTTCTGCCTTAAAATCAGCTTTTAAATGGTGTTTTTTTAAAATTATTTCACCACATTTCCTGCACCTTTAATGCATCATTATAAACATTTATTCTATTACTTGTCAGTTTATTTCCAATTTTCCTCTTTTGGTGAAACAAAAAGTGTGAAACTGAAATTATGTTGGATTCCTGATCAGCAAATACCTCTCTATCCACATTCAGCAGTGCTTCTGATGCATTGTTATTATTTAATGCAGCATCAGATTCTTAATCAAAGCACCTCTAATGCAAAAATATACTCGTCAAAAATAAATAAAAAGTTTTCTGCCTTAAAAATCTGTAATTTTTCACCAAATCTAACCACATTTCAGAGCCTAAATATGAGCATTTACTCAATTACACTTCAGTTTATTCCTGATTTTTCTCTTTTAGTGAAACAAAAAAGTGTAAAACTAAAATTCTGTTGTACTCCTGATCTGCAAATAACTTTCATTTCACATTCAGCAGTCTTTCTGATGCATCATTATCAGATTTTTAATCAAAACGCAGAACCTTGAGACAAAAGTGTTCCCGTCAAAAAAATTTTTTAAATATAATTTTTCACTGTTTTGACCACATTTTGTGCAACTTTAATGCTTCAGGATGCACATTTCCATGACTACGCTTCAGTATATTGCTTATTTTCCCTTTTTAGTGTCACAAAGACAAAGAGTTCAGCTGTGCAGAGCTGAAATGTTGAAATCCTCTCTGAGAAATACCTTTCATTTCACTTTCAGCGGTGCTTGTAATGCATTATTACTGTTTATTCAGTGTCAGATGTTGAATAAAGGCTTAAATAAAGTGCCAGACGTCATTAAATCTTTAATGTTTCACCAAATTTAACTTCGGTGCCTAAATATGAGCATTTACTCAGTCATGCCTCCAGTTTTCCCTTTCCAGCGTCACAAAAGTAAAGATTTAAGCAGCGTAAAGATGAAACCGCGCTACGAATAGCTCTCGTTTCACATTCAGCAACAGGGGAAGTGAGACAAACCGAAAGACACGAACGTCTACATGCAGGTGGCTCCGCTCGGCTGCTTTCACATCATTTTTAGACTGAATCAAAACAAACCTTTTCCTTCTATGTTTTGTCTGCTGACAGGTCACGAAGGCCAGCTGGTCGCTGTCATCCCCTGCAACGATGTCCGGCTGAAACCCAGACGCACGTACGAGCTCTGAGCCGGCGTTAGCCTCCGTGTCACCACGTTGTTTGGCATTGCGTGTCGTAATTTACATGCGTGTGTTGTGTTTCAGGAAGCTCTACGTGTGCATCTCCATGGGCGTGTGTCTGTTCCTCTGCTGCCTGATCCTCTTCTTCCTCTTCCCGCGGAGCATCACCATGGCGCCAGTGTCGGTGCTGTCGGTGATGGTGTACATCGCCCCGGATACCATCACCATGGAGGTCACCGTGAGTAGCAGCGATGCCAGAAAACACGTCTCTGTTGCATCGGATCCACGTTTCTCGTCACAGTCGCCTTTAAATGTATTCATGTCCTCCCATTAAAGAAGGAAAAACCAGTCACTGAAAGAAGCTGAAATTGAGAAAAGTAATAATAAATAAAACTGAATTGTGGTTCAACAGAAATATTTAAAAAAAAAAACAAGCATGATGGGACCCGTAAACTAATATTTAGTTGAACAACCCTTTGAGCCAATCGCTGAAGGCCACCGGTTCGCGTCCCAGTGAGGACACCCGGGATCTTTCTGCGTGGAGTTTGCATGTTCTCCCCGTGCAGCGTGGGTTCTCTCCGGGTTCTCCGGCTTCCTCCCACAGTCCAGAAACATGTTGAGGTTAATTGGTGATTCTAAATTGTCTGTAGGTGTGAATGTGAGTGTGCTTGGTTGTCTGTCTCTAAGTGTAGCCCTGTGATAGACTGGTTACCTGTCCAGGTGAACCTGCCTTCACCCTGAGTCAGCTGGGATAGACTCCAGCCCCCCATGACCCTAGTGAGGATTAAGGTGTATAGATAATGGATGAATGGATGGAAGACTAACTTGCTTATGGAGCCTCAAGTGGACATTCGAGAAACTGCAGTTTATGGAATTTGCTTGCTTTCTCTGTATATAACCGCTCATAACTCATGTCCACGTAAACACACTCACATGAGAAAATAACGTGTAGTACAATCTGCAGTAGCTATACAAAACATAGAAAAATCAAACAAAATACACAGCCTCTAATCTCAGCCTCTAAAATAAAGGAAGCCAACTAGCTAGCTACTTAGCTGGACACAATCCTACGCACTTTTTCTCTTCCAGCTTATAAAAACAACAAATATATGATCCCATATATTTTGTTGTTCAGTTAGGAACTAAACCCAAACACGGTGAACAAATACATCTTACATAAAAAGTAGGGCTAGCAAAGGTAGTAGCTTTAGCTACAGCTAAGCTAGTTCTGCTAAAAGCTAGTGAGTAGCTACTTAGCTAGACATAAATGTACCCACTTTTTAGCTTTCCACTTGGAAAAATAGCAAATATATAGTTCGATATATATGTTGTTCACTTCGGAACTAAATCTAAACACAGTGAAGAAATAAATCTTACAAGTAGGGCTCGCAAATTTAGTAGCATTAGCTATAGCTGCACTAGTTCTGCTAAAAGCTAGTGAGTAGCTACTTAGCTAGAAATAAATTTACCCGTTTTTCAGCTTTCCACTTGGAAAAATAACATACACGACTCGAAATATTTGTTGTTCATTTAGGAACTAAATTCAAAGTGAAGAAGTAGATTTTGCATAATAAGTTGAGCTAACTAAGTAAATAAAGTTAGCTTTAGCTGAACTAGCTCTGCTAAAAGCTAGCAACCAGCAATATAGCAACAACTGCCCTCAGTTATTGATTCAAAAGGGATTCAAGTGATTTGTTGTGGTTCATTTTCCCTTTAAACACATATTTAAATGTATTAAAATATAGATTTATTGATTACTTATTGCACTACTTTAAACAAACACAATGCTAGCTCATTTTCCATGTAGCTGCTGTAATATTCCGTTTGTCTCAAGATTATTAATATTTTTGCAAGGTCTTAAGATTCATGACATTTTTTTTTCCACAATATTTTATGAATTTGGTAAAAATTAAGAAATTATAGCCTTTATGTTACACACTTTAACTAATTAGCCTCAAAACGTCCGGCCCCGAGCCACATTTTAGCAACATTTTAGCGCTAAATGGTGGCTATTTTAGTGAGCGCTCTGCCTTTTCAGAACAATAGCTGTTATATTTATGTTTTTATTCCAATATTAGTGTATAGTTATGACTCCATTGCAGCCAAATGTAATGCTATAGGTAAGACAGTCGTATATATATTCCTACTTCTCTTTTTAAAAAAATACACCAGTTCAACATGTCTTCATCTCAAGAAATTGTATTTCCACTGTTCTTGTTTGTAAGCTCCATCATATCATATCTGATAATAAAAAATACACTCAGCAGTCACTTTATTTGGTACATCTAAAGTGGTCTTACACAACAGCTCTGCCATAAGTTCTACATTTTGGAAGATTTATCATCTATTTGTTAATGATTGACGTCACAGCTTTGTAAAAGTAGAATTTATGCCATAGTCGTTGTATTTAATTGCTTTAAATTGCACGAGTAAAAAAAGAGTCCAGGGAGTTTAAAGTCTACGATTCAGGCTGATTGTGTCCTAAAAATCTAAGAAGTCTCTTTACACCAGACTTTGGAAAGTTAAGGCCGAGCTAAAGGTTGAACAGACAGAACGTTGTGTATCAATGGTTCCTAATTGATTATACAGTACAGTGTCTAAATCGCTGAGCTTTTCCGACCAAGACTTCCTCAGCAGCTTGGTTTTTATTGTGGATGTCAAACACTTTCCACGAGGAACACTTGAACTGCGTCCGCATGACGGCCTGACACAGTTACGTGACGGTCAAAGTTCCCCCTTTGAGTCTTTTTTAACGATGGTGAAGGTGTGTTCGTAGCACTTGGCTGACGGGGCGTTTCCTCCTCCAGAACCTCATCAACATCACCAACGAGAACTTTGTCCCGGTCCAGGTTGCTGACTTCAGCATTCAGGGTCTGGTGGCCGAGCAAGTCGTGGGTAAAAGCAAGATGACCAACATGACGGCGCTGCAGTCCAGATCGCAGCAATCTGTGAGTTTCACACAGGACTGAAAATATACCGTCGATGAATTCATTTTACAACCTCTTTGTCTGAATCTCTTGCAGTACACCTACCAGGTCGACCTGTTAATCAAAGATAAAGGCTTAAAGTAAGACGTCAGAACCTGAATTTTCTGTTCCAGCTGCACAGATTTCACTACGAACGTCCGTTATTGTTGGTTTTTGATTCGTCTGACTGTGTTTCGTCTCTTTCAGCACCTACTGCAAGTCCAAAAACATCAAGATTCACACGTTATTTCTGGTGCTGCAGTAAGTGTCGCCCTAAACAACAGCGGACGACGTCTCAGTTTGTCTCGAACCCTCTAAGTGTTACAAGCGTCTCTCCTGCAGGACCTCCTTAAATCTGAAATGTTAAAAGTCCTGCTTGTAGAGTCCAAACCGCATCCTTCAGTTTTCATTTCTGTTTTCTGAACCCTCAACGAAAACCAAACGTTTCTGCTTTCGATCAGCTGCTTTTTAGCTTGAATGTAGTCCAGAGTTTCAACATTTCAAGGCTGACCTGATTATTCAATGCAGAGAAAGCGCGAGAAAACACCAAAGGGAAACTAATCGATCCATAAGTGTCCTGATGCCACTTCTCGCCGCACGTTCGCCACAAAAGCTTCCCGCAAAGCCGCAAAGCACACAGTACGAATCTCAGTGTAATTAACGGGTCAAAGCTACGTCGTTCTGCACCAAAGTTCTAGCCATGAAACTTTAAACAAATAATCAAGTCAGTTTTGAGCTGTTTTGGTGCAAAGCTCTATTCTGAACATGCATCTTACAGCACATACATGTAAATAAGCCCAGATGCTCCAAAAAAACCCTCCAAAAAACAGGAACATGAAGCCATGTTGTCGTTACACAATTTGTTATAATAAAGAAACTGTAAAAACAGAGAGAAATCCCCAGATTTAGAATTTTCCGCTGATCTTTGAACTCGTCGGGAAACTTTAATTAAACTTAAAATGTTGATATTCCATGAAGATCACTTTTATTCTATTCATGTCTAATTTAAAAATTCGCCAAAAATAAACCATTTGCTTGAATTAGATTCTGTAAAAAACAAAAAAATCTCTGCTCCTCGACGCAACTGAGAAGCGATGACTGACTCAGCAGTGACCAGCGGCCACGTCATAAAAATTCAGAGAGTTTAAGGCTGAACTGGGCTGAACTGCAGGCAGTGTTTACACAGAGCAGATTAAAAATGTAAAAATTTATATTTTAAACCCCTGTGGCTTGTAAAGTCACCTTCCTGTTCCAGTATTTGTAAGAACCTGTGGGCACCTGGACAAAATGTTCATGTGTTTCCAGTTTTTTTTGCAGTTTTTGTTAAATAAATGTAAATTGTTAAGGAATGGCTCCGATTGCACACATCGAACAGCATTAGCGTTACTTTTAAGTCAAGCCAGTACGAACATCTGCTCAATTTTCCCTCGTCTATTTGCTCCGTCTTGGTCTCCACCAACTCATGAGAAAAGTCTGATTTTCAAGCAGCTAAATCCTCCTCTATAGCCTCCTTTACATTCTGTATTTTAATGCGAATTTCAAAGTATCGCTTAAGAAACTTTTAATAGAAATTCAAAAAATTTTGCAAAAATGTTCGTGAGATTTTGACTTTCCCAAGAAAAACAAAATCACAGGAGATGGAAAATGTTTTTCTAAATAGGTTCTGAGGTAGCGAACATTTAACTCACAGGACTGATCGGCTTTTTCTTTCTTTGTCTTCGTCTCAGAAAACATGGCCGCCACGAGCTGACAAAAAGGAAAAATCACAACTTTCCCAATTTAAAACAATTCCCGAAGACTTTTCTCAGTTTTTCTGTCACTGATGGACAAAGTTTTGTTTGTTTCTTCTTCTTTTTCGAGCTTTTTTTCGCCACTGCTTTAAGTCTTCTTCTACTCTGCTAATTACAACCGTGTGGCCTACAGCGCCGCCTGCTGGCAGCCTCGTTTATTCTCGCCTCATTTGCATTTTTATCTTCATATTTTTTGCAACATTTCAAAAGTTTGCTGCAAATTTCCTTAGAAGTTGTATAAATACACTTAGAAAGACACTAAAGTTGTGTTTTCATTGCACCAAGTTCACATCACACACAACGAATCTGATGCATTTGCTTCGTGTAGCTTTAAAACATAACGCAGTGTGTTTTGTTTTTCCTCGTTTTCCGCAGAATGACGATGAATATTTCCTACCTGTCCCACACGGAGCAGCTTTCTCTGGACACCTACGAGTACGTCGACTGTGGCGCCAACTCCACCAGCCCCCATCCCGTCAGATTATAAAATACCTTCATCCTGCCTGTACCGGATCTAAAAGAGGGAATGAATACGGTGGAAACGCACCGTAAGGCTTTAATGAATCACTACAAAGTCGTAATTTCAAAATACAGACGCTTCAAATGCACTTACATGTGAGCTCATGTTGTCGTTTATCTGCCTGTAAATCTGCGTTACAGCCGAGCAGGTTTGTGGAATAATTTCTGCAATGCAAAATGTGAAAACTGTTTTGTTTTTTTTTTAAGTTGTGTATATTTCACAATGTTTTGTAAAAAGCTTAATTTTTTTAATACGGAGCTGAACTCTGACGATCTGCTCGTTTATCATTTGCACTTTATTAAACTGAGGCATTCAAGGTTCCATGTGTTTGACTTTTGTGGTTTTTTTTGTCTAATTGAGCTTTTTTTTTGTTCACCACACTGAAAAGTCCACTTTAAAAACCACATTTCTTGTCAAAGGTGTCCCTCTTAATGTGGATAATCTACTTTTTTTCTGCTGCATCAATAGTTGTTATTTCACTTAATTATTGAATCCATTCGTCTGATTTACAGCTGCTACTTTGAGGCAATAAATGCAAGATAATACACATTTTTTTGCCCCCAAATACTTAAAATGAACGTTTTATTTACTCACATAAACGAAAAACAACATCTTGTGAAATACTCAGATCCTTTACTTGAGTAAAAGTACTCTATTACATGCACTGAACTAAAAGTATGTTTGAATATTATGGAAAATGTTCATAAATGCAGAAGAAAAGCTTCTTGTGTTTGTTGTATTTACATATTTTACATAATTAGGATTTTATCAATCACGCTGTCATGTTAAAGAGCATTCAACAGTTGAAACAGCTTCAGGAGGAGATAAATAAAACGTATTTTTTTTTAACTTAAAGCAGCAGATAATTTAAGCTTTAACCACAGCAGACTGTAATAATTTTTATTATTATTTGTTATGTTCTTAATTAGTTGATGATTTGGTTGAAAAACTTCAGAAATTTCACGTCACAATCATCCAGAAACACTTTGATGATGTTTTTTTTTATATTTATATTAGATAAAGTAGTGGTAGAAAGTAACTGAGTACATTTACTCGAGTACTGTCCATTTTATTCCCCTTAATAATTCCACTTCACAACATTTCAGGGTTAATTCTTGTGCTTTTTAAGAGTTTTTAGACTAGAAATTAACACAATAAATAATATTTAATGTACTACAGCTAGTTACAGATTAAACAAATGATTTTAAAACTTATTTTTTGTTTTTTAAATTAATAGTAATCCTTTAATACTTTAACTACATTTTGCTGCAGTGTACTTTTACTTTAGTTTGGACTTGTAATGGAGAATTTTTACTTTGCTGTAGTGATACTTTTACTAAAATAAAGGATCTGAATACTTCTGCTGCCACCGAGAGAAACTAAAACGGTCTGACATTAACGGTGAACTCATCAGTGTGTTTTAAGGCGTCATAGTTTCTAAACTTTTGTCGTGTTTTGGCTGTAAAACAGTGACTTTAAAGCTTTAATATAAAAGCAGATAAAGAGCGAAACTAGAACCAGACAGAGAAAAATAAAGAGCTGCACTTCTTTGTGCAGTATAGTATTATATATATATATTAATATAGTATACTAGTATCTTCTTTGATACTCAAGTACTTTAGCAGAGTATTTAGTTACATTCTGAACACACAGGATTACAATAAACTCATATTTTCTGAACAGCAGGTGGCGCTGAAACGTCGTCTCACACTGATTGGTTTAAATGACAGTCACAAAGTCTGAAACTAGCAGATGTGAAGAATTCTAACAAACACCTGAAGACACAAACTGGACCGACTTTCACCGTTTAGTTTTGTATTTCACTAGATGTATTTATTTTGTAATTAAACATACCTGCTAGCTGACATACTACCACATTTATAGACGTTTTAGGTCTTTTGTGACATTTTTAAATATATTGAACTATTTCTTTCTCACCGACTGTATTCTGAGTATGAGTAAAAAAAAAAAAAAGTTCAGTCTATTAAATAAAAATAAGGAAATATTTGTCAAATTCTGATAAATTTGTGAATGTAGTTGATGATCTTTGTGTAAAAAAAAAACTTAAAAAAATAAAAATGGCCATTTTATTTATTTCTTAATTTTAGTAAAAAGTATTTACAGCATTAAATTTACATTTTTAAATAAAAAGGAAACATTTGTCAATTTACAGATGCATTTTAAATGTTTATTGTAAAAAAAATATTAGAAATGGTAATTTCATAGCTGCTCTCCGCTAAGTCTCACTGATTGTGTTTTGTTTTAGAATTTTATTCAACCTGGAAACTTCAGCAATTTTATGTATGATATAGAGAGAAATATGTGAAACTATGTCCTTTTATTAAGTTGTATTTTTTTTCATAAATATTACAAAATATATATCTACATCTTAAATCTTAAATCCACATCTATATCTTAAACTTGAAACCGAAACATTTAAATATGAAAATAATTTAAAGTGACTTTTATAAAATTGTGGTGAATAAATGTAGTTTAAACATCTACGTTAAAAAAACTCTAATTTTCTTTAAAAAAAAAAAAAAAAAGGAATAGTACATTTATTGTCTGTTAATATTCTCTAATTGCATCTAACGTATATTTACAGGATTGGACTTGAACCAAACAGTTTCATCTATTCAGTTAAAAGGAAATATTGGTGAAATTACCACGAATAGTTAATTAGATTTTAACAGTTCTTTACTTCTTCACTTGTTATCAAGTCTTTTGAGCTGTAAGTACATTTAGAAACATGTTTGAAGAATTCAACTTAAATTAAGTTTGAACTTCCTCTGTTCAATAAAAATCTACATATTTGTGTGCATAAATCAAATAATACATGTATTCTAACATTCTTTCATGTCAATGAGTTTAAATTTTTGTTTACAAAAATGTGAATTTTTGTCATTTTTGTAGTTTTTGTGTGTGTTTTGCGTTCGATATGAATATTTTTAGTAGTTTTATAGATTTTTTTTTAAATATGCAAGAAAAAAATCTGTGAAACTGCTTTTTTAAAAAAGTGTTGGCTAAACCATTTATCCTCCTTCAACACTTCTGTTTAATTATGTTTTGTAGAATTAATGCTCCTGTTATTCATGTCTGTTCTAAATAAACGTGTTTATACATAATTATTATAATTACCTATGAATTGCTCTGAGTTGTGTTTCTTCCAGATTTAGTGAGTTAAAACCAATCAATGAATTAAACTATAGATCGCTGAAGTTGAAGTTTCAGTGAACCGGGTCAGAATAAATCCAGCAGCCGCTGAGCTGCGGTTCCCGGCTCGTCCTGCAGGAGGCGCCGCTCCGCCGCAGCCTCCAGGTGTCCGTGACGTGGCCGTGACGCGCCGGTGACGTGTCACCGGGCTGAAGGTGCTTCGTGTCGGATCCTCGGAGCCTCAGAGCTGCTCAGAGACCCGCAGAGAGGAGACGAGCCGCGGCTCCGCTCCGCGATGGCTGCGCTCGGTTCCGCTGGATCCTGATTCCCGTCCAGAAGGTTAGAACATTTAAAAAACGTTTGTCTGACTGTTTGCATGAATTCTCGTCTTTATTTGTGGGATTACTGGAGTCAATCTCTGCTGGTGGACACACTGAAGTTGTCTATTCGCTCAGCCTGGAGGCAGATGGTTGAAGTTCAGGCCGGTTCGGGTTTTCTGCTCATCTGGATCAGACTGAAGTCCAGAACCAGGACTTTGTGAGCGCGACGCTGCGCTTTGTGCAGCTGGAGCTCCAGGATCAGGAGCAGGAGGGTGTTCTCCAGTAAACATGCAGAAGCTGTTTGTTGCAGCAGTTTGATGGTGTTAAATGTCAACAACAACAACAACAACAACAAGAAGAAGAAGAAGAAGAAGAAGAAGAAGCGGTGGACCAGAGCAGCAGCAGAGCGCTGAGCAGCTCCATCAGGTCTCTATGAGCTGCAGACCAGCAGAGAGCAGATTAGCTGCAGGTTGAGCTGCTGAAGGTTGTTTCTGTACAAGCTGGAGAGAATTTAGGAATGAAAGAGTTTTTATTTGAAGCTCTGCTCTTCCAACATCAACGATTTTATCTGTTCGGTTTGTGGAAAGTGATCGTTTCTATCTAGTAAATCAGAAGCTGCAAAATTTATGAATAAATCTTCAAAAAGGAGCCAATTTATGAAATATTTTAACATGATTAATCTCAAATTAAACAGTTTTCTGATGAGGAGAGGACATATCTGTGGATTTGTGTGTATTTTAACAAAGAAAATGTTCTTTAAAAATGACAAATTTCTCTGTTTTAAACGTCACCTTTTAGAAATTTTACATTATTATTTTGATATTGTGTTTTTTTTAGAAATCTATTTATCGTATTAAAATTTAAATGTAATTTCACATGTTTCCTTTAATATATGTGATATTTTAGATATTAATATGTAAAAATTCTGTTCATTTAAATAGATTTTATTCAATATATTTACAGCATTAAACTCAAATTTAACAGTTTCATCTGCGAAATTAAAAAAAATTTAAATGTGTTCGTGTATTTTAACATTTTTTAAAAAATGTAAACTTTAAATTCAGTTTCTTTAAAGAATGAACATTTTATGGTTATTCTCTAATAACTGACACTATTTGTATATAATTTAAGACATACTGACAGAATTAAACTTAAATCTGACATTTTAATTTAATGAATAAAAAGCAAAAGGCAGTTTTTTGTCTTAAAACATTTCAGTTTAAAAAAAAAACAAACTACGTACATTTCATGGTTATCCTCGAGTAAATGTCAATACTGTAAAGATATTTACAGGATTAAACAAACAAACATTTTCATTTATCAGATTAAAAGGAACAATTCTGTAAAAATGTATTTTACAAAAAACTAAAAGTTCGTCTCTGCTGCACATCAGTGTTTGTAAAGAACTTCTGAAATATATTTACACAGCTTCATGTGTTCATTAAAGTCAATATTTGTACATTTACACATTTTATTGTGTTTTTATGTTAAAAAAAATACATATGATAAAAAAAAATCATGACAATTTAAAAAATGTTTTTAACAGAATTTTAATGGCAGAAAATTCAATTTTCTACAACTTGTAGGTGGAATAAGTTCCAGTGCTTCCTTGGATTGGGAACCTTAAACTAGAATTTAAGTTTTATCTGTTAAATAAAAAGTACATATTTGTAAATTTTTTTTTATACATTTGATAAAAATGTTTAAAAAAATTGACAAATAAATAAATGTTTTTTAAACAGTATTTTTATGTCAGAAAATTCTTTTTTGGGTAAAAAAAACAACTTTAACTTTTCTACAACTCTGGATTTGGCTTTTTTTTTTTCTTTTTTTTTTTAACCTTTAACTTGAATTTAACATTTTGTTCTGTTACATAAAAATGACCTGTTGCTACTTTAACTGTATTTCTGTGTTTCTTTAACCCTCCTGTTATCTTTGGGATCGATTTGACCTCACTGGCATCATTTCTTCAGTTTTATCTAAAGAGCTATTTACACATAAACTCGGGTGACAGTTTTAATTCTGATCTATTCTGGAGGTCTGGATGGCTGTGGTCAGATTGAAGCCGAGGAGAAAAGATGTCAGTAAACTTGAAGGTAGTGGGAGGGTTGGATGATAGAAGGACGCTGCATCTCTATCTGCTGTTTGTGTGTTTATCAGGTGACTCTTGAATAAATTGCAGACGCCTGCTGCTTTATCAGCCGTTATCTGGTCATTGAATGCTAACCGAGCCTCTGTGTGTGTTCTGATAAGGTTGAACTCCGTCTGCCTGCCGCCAAATGCCGATCTGCTGAGAACAGGATTAAACCAGGAACCCTCCTAAAGTAGGTGTGAGCTGCCGGCTGGCATCATGGGGAACCAGCTGACGGAGATCGCCCCCAACACGCCGTTCCTGCCCAACTTCCAGGCGCTGCACGTGGTGGTGATCGGCCTGGACTCGGCCGGGAAGACCTCCCTGCTCTACCGGCTCAAGCTCAAGGAGTTTGTGAAGACCATCCCCACCAAAGGCTTCAACACGGAGAAGATCAAGGTGGCCGTCGGGGCGTCCCGCGCCATCAACTTCCAGGTGTGGGACGTCGGCGGCCAGGAGAAGCTGCGGCCGCTCTGGAAGTCGTACACCCGGCGCACGGACGGCATGGTGTTCGTGGTGGACTCCACCGAGCTGGAGCGCATGGAGGAGGCCAAGGTGGAGCTGCACAAGATCACCAGGACGTCGGAGAACCAGGGCGTGCCGGTGCTGATCCTGGCCAACAAGCAGGACCTGGACTCGGCGCTGTCGGTGGCCGAGGTGGAGAAGCTGCTGTCGGTGCACGAACTGAGCATGTTCACGCTGTTCCACGTGCAGAGCTGCAGCGCCGTGGACGGCCAGGGGCTGCAGCCGGGCCTGGAGAAGCTCTACGAGATGATCCTCAAGAGGAAGAAGATGGTGAAGCACAACCGCAGCAGGAAGAGATGAACTTCCTGCCACCAGCTCAGTGGTGCTTTTTAAACGGGGGCGGCGACTCGTGCCAACAGAACCACATTTGGACTCGGCCTCGGGCTCGGCAGATCTGACGCAGCGTGGACGCTTTTTGTCGTGCAGCTGATCTTTCCAGACTGTCAGGGACCCGTGATAGCAGCCGTAGTCTCCACCCGACGCTTTTCTACACAGAAGATTTGCCTGCTAACGTACGAGCACAGTTTGATCCAGGCGGAGACGGTTCCTCGTGTTCCTTCACTGGTTCTGCTCCACGACGTTCCACCAACGTATTTATTCAGCGTTTATGTGTTTGTTCTGGACTGAGCAGCTTTTTTGTTTTTTGTTTTTTTTATGAGAAACGGAGGCGGTGACGGAGCACCAGTGATGTTTAGTCTGATCCTAAGTGCACTCCCTTCATAGACACAGATGTTAACGCTCACCTAGTTTAATATGATGATAGTAATAATAATAATAATAATAGTGTTTATACAGATTGTACTTTTTCTTTTTTTGCAAACTGAAGACTTAATAAATCGACTGCACTGTACAGAACATCCACTGTGATCTTTGCAGGGTTTGAACTGAATGAATGAGAACGAATGAACAAACGCTTATTTAACGTTTATTTTCGTTATTTTCTGGGTTGAGTAGTTTGTAAAACGTGCAAAAAAATGGTGAAAAGGTCAATCAAATATCCAGTGTTACTGTCACAGAGGAGGAAAGAAACCAGGAAATATTCACATTTAACAAGCGAGAATCAGAACATTTGACTGTTTTATTTTTACTGAACTGGTTAACAGCTGTTGGTTCGTTAAGTAGTTGGAAACTAAATATAAACTTTAATGTTATCTGGGTTTTTGCAGTCTTACACGAGCCTTTGTCAGGCAGTTTGCTCATTTCTGACCTTTTAATAACCCCAATTAACAAAGTTGGTGAGAAGATTCAACATATTTTTAAAATTCTCATCATGTTCTTACGTATGTGCTGGTAGTTTTCTATTGGTTCTGTCTACAATCTATGTTGGAGGCATTTAAAACGTCTTTGAAATGGACTGAATTTCCTCTACGCTGGAAAAAACTTGTTCGCAAAAAAAAAAGTAAGCTATTTAAACCCACAAAGAAATGCAGTTTCTCTAGTTTGGTTCGCTGCCAGGTCTCTCATTAGCCGTGTTAAATGGAAAAAATCCAAAACATGTCCCTTATTTTGCAAAAAAATATGTTACACTTGCTTAAGTTTTTAAAGAGTTTAAACAAAACTGATTTGGTTTTGCAGCTTCTTCTACTCTGCATATTCCAGGGATGTGGCCTCACAGTGCCCCCTTCTGACAACATGCAGCCGAGGTTTTTTGAGAAAAGCATTTCTTATTTATTTATTTATTTTTACATTTTTTTGCAACACGGCGTTCAGATTTGTTTTACCATTACATTGCCTAATATTTTCATTTTCTGGCTTTATGCTTCACTGTGTTTCCGGAATGCGAGTATTGAGCATTAGCATTAGCATTAGCATAAAGCTGATTGAGACAAAAACAACCTCAATTTTGTCAACGATAAATGTGGAATATTCTGTTGAGTTGAGTTTCTGTAATTTTTTGACTGTTTCATGGTAGACTTTTTGTAAAAAAGAACCGATAGCGCCCCCTTCAGACAAACAAGTTTATTCGCTGTAAAGGAGTTAATGGAGACGCAGTTTAAACACATTTTCTTTGTTTATTTTGGAACACTGAAACAAGTCGATGAAAACAGCTGCTGCTTGGTTTTTCCGTCCTCGCCTCTCGTGGAGTTTCGTTCCTCTAAAACCAGCAGCATTTAGCAGCTACAGAAACACGTATTTCCCTGCAGAGCCGAGGAAAATAAATCCTGAGCTGAAGGAGAGTCTTGAGTCTTAGACAGAAAACCACAAACAGGAAGACGTCTGCTCACCTGAAGGTGTGACTGCTGCCTCCTCAGCTGGTTTTACCAGCTCCATTCAGATTTCAAAGTCCTGTGTTGTGACCCTCCTTCCCATTCAGGGCCGGATCAGAGCGAGGGGTGAGGGGTGAGGGCTGAGGGCTGAGGGCTGAGGGCTGAGGGGTGAGGGGTGAGTGGTGAGGGGTGAGGGCTGAGGGGCTTCCTCCCCCACAGCAGACAATACAATCCCTTTAGCCAGATTCCCACCTCCTAGTCTGCCCACTGCTGACGCTGTAATTGCATCAATTAGCGGTGAGGAGGTTCAGAGCTGCTTAGTCCTCGTGTTGTGATCACGTGGGAACAAAGAGGGAACGTTTCCACAACAGTGCACTAATAATGATTAGAAAGAAAACATTTGAATCCAATGTTCCAAGAACGTTTTAGGGATATTTATCATTTCAAATAATGAGATAAAACAAAAGTATGAGGTGAGAAGAGACGCTTTAACAGTCAGAGGATAGTTTAGATTATGTTCCAAGACAACACAAGAAGAACGTTGTGGAACCAACTTTCGGAAGATGTTTGTTGTTAAACACCTGTTGAAAAAACACTTCAGGATATTTATCATTAGAATCACGTCCCTATGAGTTTACAAGAGACGTTTAACATTCAGATTGTGTTCCAAGATAACACAAGAAGAACGTTGTGGAACCAACTTTCAGAAGATGTTTTCAAGATGTTTAATGTTAAGCATCAAATAATGCTGGCAAATGTTTTAGTCTTATGTTTAAAGAATGTTTTAAGGACATTTATCATTTCAAATAATGTTGCTGTGAGGTTAACGGAGACGGTTTAACATTCAGAGGATATTCTGAAGATCTGGTGAGATTATGTTCCATGAAAACATAAGAAGAACGTTTTCAGCTGTCACTAGATGCTTTCAAGATGTTTAATGTTAAACAACTACAAATGTTTAAAGAACGTTTTAAGGATATTTATAATTCCAAATAATGTTCCAATGAGGTTAAAGGAGACGTTTTAGCATTCAGGGGATGTTTGAAGGATGTTGATTAAACATCTAATGATGTTAAAGAACGTTTTAGGGATATTTATCGTTCCAAATCATGTTCCTATGAGGGTACAATTGAACTCAGAACTATTTAACATAAAGAAGATATTTGGAGATCATGTTCCACGATAACATAAAAATCAAACCAACCGTCAAAAGATGTTTTCAAGGTATTTAAGGTTAAACATCTAGCAGTGTTTAAAGAACATTACAAGGATATTAATAATTTCAAATAATGTTCCTATTCAGAGGATGTTTGGAGGATGAAGAAGAACGTTGTGGAACCAACTTTCATAAAGATGTTAAACGTTACAGAAAACATGTTAATCTAATGTTCAAGGAACCTTTAAAGCAGGGATGTCGAACTGCGGTCCTCGAGAGCCACAGTCCTGCATGTTTTAGATGTTTCCCTTCTTCCAGCACACCTGATTCACATGATCAGGATCGTTATCAGGCTTCTGCAGAGCTTGATGATGAGCTGATCATTTAAATCAGGTGTGTTGGAAACATCTAAAACATGCAGGACTGTGGCCCTCGAGGACCGCAGTTCGAGACCCCTGCTTTAAAGGATATTTATCCATTCAAATAACGTTCCCAGGAGGTTAAAATAGAACTAAGACAGAGCGTTTAAACGTTCAGAGCATAGTTGGAGAACGTTGTCATATTACGTTCCATGCTAACAAGAGAAGAACGTTGTGGAAGCAGCTTTCAAAAGATGTTTTTAAGACGTTATCAAGGCGTCAGAAGTTGTTTTTATACAACGTTCCTGTGATCTGATAAAGTACCAGAAAGGTGGAACGTTCTGAGGGTGTTGTTGAGGTAACGCGTTGTGGAACATTATAGTATAAAATCCACAAAATAACAAAGAAGGATGTTCTCAATGCAACATTCGGCAAATGATTTAAGAAACGTTTTTAGAATATTTTTTTAAGGAGAACATTCTGGGAACTATGAGAAATGAGATTCTCAAATCCCAAAATGAATAAAATAAACCTGCTTTAGTCTGAGAAGCCTGAAGCTGAGCACTGATTTAGGCGTTATCGTAGCTTCGTGTCCAGTTTATTGTCCCACTGATGTGTTTGTTGACCACCAGTCTGTCCATAAATGAACCTAGAATAGCTGGTATCAGTCTGACGGATGCAAAAATACATCCAAAGATGAACACAGTGTCCTTTGCTGCAGGTTTTGTTTTATTTTCCTGCTATTTGAGAGGAGTCACGGCGTCCTGGAGTTCACAACACGCGACTCCTGATGGGTTTTGATGCAGAAGAACATCACTGGACTCTTGCAAATCTCCTCACTTGCCACTCAAACACGATATTATGCAACAAATACAATCTACATGTCACGCATTGTTGACCCACATATACTGTCAGTGTGCATCCTCCTGCTCCCGCTGAGCGCTCGTCCTGCCTGACATGATGAGATAATGACTTGTTAGGCGTCCCGCTGCGTCCTTCTTAAATGTCAGTAAATGTACATCATGACAACAAACCTGCACACAAACACGCCTTGACTCGTGCGACCTCGCCGTCCCCATTATTCACAACGGTGAGCTCATTAAAAGTTTTCAAGGAGGCCTTTTGCAGAATCATCTTGACACAGCAGCTGGTCCCTGAATAAATTTGCATGGTGATGCGGCGTTTGCAACAGCTGAGACACGTTGTGGGCATTTGGAGGCATCAATCAGCCGATGGAAAAAAAAAAAAAACCCACACCAACACGCTGCCACTGAGACTCTCTGCCCAGAATAAAAGGCGTAAAAGACGGCGTGGTGCAGCTGAGGAAAGGTGCTGCTGTGCATACGATATCCTGCACGCTTTGATGGGCGTAAAGGTAAAACCTGAAGGGAGCTGCAGGTGGATTGTCTGGTTTGTTGTACTCTGCTCGTCTTTTTGCATGTTTCCGTCACGTTCTGGGGCCTTTCCTTGTTTCTCTCGGCTTTGAATCCCGGTTTCTGGGGCGTAATGGTGGCTGACAAGTAAAACACTAGAGAGGAAGCCTGGGGGATTATGTGTCAGGGCTCAGCCGGGGGAATCTCACAAAGGCAGGTGTATCCCTGCAACGCTGTGGCATAAATCAGAGAACGGCTCACCGCTGGGCTTCAAAAACAATAAAAGACACCAAAGAGTCATTCTTCCTCCCGTGCTGCTCAGAAATCCTAAAACAATGGGGCACCAAGTGTACAAACGTATTAAGGAGACTAGTTTGAAGCCATGCTAGCAGCTCTCTGAAGCTGTACTCAGCTAAATGCTAACATACTCTTGATTCTGATCATCTACATTCTTATTTAGTAGTTTACAAAATGTGGCATGTTGCTGGAAAGGCAAAATAAAAATGAGATGATACTAAGATTGCCTGCAGTGTATCACAGTGTTGCTGTGAGCTAAATGCTAGTGTTAGCCTGCTAACATGGTCATAGTAACAATGCTAACATATAGTTATTTTATCATAAAAACAGATAAAGTGGAGATACCGGCTAAATTGTTTGCTTACTTTTTGATTGTTTACAGTCTTATTTAGTAGTTTAAAATAGGGGATGGAAGGCTAGTTTATGCTAGTAGCATACTGCAATGGTGCGATTAGCTA